CGAATACAATCCCAAACTTGCACCAGCTTCAGCCAATATTCATTATCAAATAGAAAGATTGCATTAGGGATAACGATAATCAACCTAACTCTAATTGAACATGTGATTTTATTCATAATGAGTGGAGAACTGAATGTAGTGCGAGATCTTACATGGATTTAAAGTACGTTTAGGGCAATCATGTTCTTTAAACATTTCAAGTATAATATTTGATCAATTAAGAAGACATATTTTTTCTTAATTTCCCCATGTTAATCGTGCTACTATTCTATAGGGTACCCTTTATTTATAATTTTATTTCTGAGAACAATTCAAATACAAAACAATATTATTCCTCTACTTAGCAGGAAGACTTTCAATGTAACTAACTTACGTTTTATTGCTTGTATTTTCTTGGGGCCTCCCTAGAATCATTTTCAAAGCCATTTCCCATATGATTCTATCCCCATTGGTGATTTGACGAGACGAATGATGCTTTTCAAAGTTTGGATGAGGTTGGTTTCTTCCTTGATGGGTGAGGGAGGACTTGTTCTTTTTTATTAGTTGTATTTTCTTTGTTTTTCCTCTATTGTTATTGTTATTTTTTGTTTGTTCACCTAACCCAGGGGTGTTCTGCGGTAAGCTAAGTTCCTTTGAAAATAGTTTTGTATACTCCTCTTATATCTTTATCTTTCTTGGTGAGATTAAGATAGGACTATAAGAGGATTTTTTTGACCGTGAATCAGCTTGCTTTCTTTTGATCCCTATTTCGGGACATGTCCCGATATAGGCTAGCCGTCTTTTATTCGGCCTATGTATATTCTTTCCCCTCTTTTTTTTTTTTTAATTTTAAATGTATTTACTTTAAAATTAAAAAAAAAAAAAACTTACGTTTTGTTATTTTTATACTAAATAAATTATAAAACACAAATTTAAATCTTAGAGGTTAATATATTTAATTTTTATAGAGTAAAACCTTGCCAATAAATGATGTTTTAACTATCCTACAAGTTTATGCCACGTAGTTTTGAAACCCAATTTATTAATATGAAATTTAAAATTTTGAACCAATTATATTATATTATTGAGTTAAAAACTTTTTCCCACCCGAATAATAGTTTAATGACAATATCCCACCCTTCGACTTTTAAAATATCATTTTACTACCCAAAGTCCAATTCTGTTTATAATTTTTTTTTTTTTGTGAAAAAAGATAGAATGGTCAAAAGTGTCTTATAAGTAAGGGTAGGATGATCAAATAACATTAATTGACCATCTTTTTCATCTCCCCTCCTCCAATTGCGACTGTCGTTTTTGCACTGTCGATCGATTCCGGCATTGTTGCAACTCCCCGCCACCACCATCTTGTTCCTCGTGCTTCCCTCATCAACACCTATCTTCCACCGTCCTCATCGAACCCACCGTTGGAGTCCTCAGGTGCCCGTCCCCTTCTCTTACCTATTTTAGCTAGAATTCGGCATTGTTGACTTTCCTCAACCCCTCCACCAGCTTCCCCATCCTCCATAGACCAAAACCCCCAATGTTCCCAAGCCTCTCCTCCCACCGTTCGTCGGCCACCGCCTTGTTAAGGTTTCACTATTCTAAGCCAAATTCTGGTGGCTAATGGCGGCCAAAATCCAATCCAACACCACCATTCAAACCATTGAACTCCACACTACAAAACCCCCCAAAAACCCCGTTACCTGTTAGCTCGTCGATCGTTGGCCGAACTCGCCTCCACTGTCGTGATTGAATTTTTGTTTTTATGTGAAATTGGCTTTGATTTAATGTTTCTTTGAAGTTGTTTGGGCTTATTGAATATTTAAGGATTGACTGTGTTGGTTTTCTGGGTTGTTTCCATTGCAGACGACGACCATTTTACACTCTTTCATCGGCGCACACCTATTGCTCAACAAATTGCCCCACTCCAAGTAGTGTCGACTATTGAAGGGTGATTGTGGGTGGGCGTAAGTGGGGTTTTGGTAGGGCCGTAGGGGGATGTCGATAAGTTGAATGGTGGTGACCGTGTCAATTTTTGGTGTCGGAATCAGCTAGAATTTGGGTTGTGGCGTGCGAAACTTTGAATTGCGTGGCTAGCGATATGGAGTTGATCTTTGGTGGGGGTATTTTTGTCTTTATAGTGAATACCACTGTTTTTAACAGGAACTGTTAATAGAATTTAACATTTGGGTAGTAAAATAATATTTTGAAAGTGGGAGGGTGGGAAAGTGTAAATACATCATTATTTGGGTGGGAAAAAGTCATTAACTCTATATTATTAATGAAGAGAATATTGTAACGATTAATCTTGTCATTATATACAAACTTCAACCACATCTATATATAATGATGAAAGTATTGTCCAAACTTTAGAGCTATCTAAATTAAAATATAACGCAATCATGGCGGCAAACCAAATTAAAATTGCACGTGGTTAGAAGAGATAAGAGAAGGATCCAACTTCTTTCGGACTAGGGACCCCTTAGATAATGAGGTTCAAAATAAAAGATTTATTTATTTATAATTCCTTAAATATAATAAAAATCGATCTTGTTCATGCAACGAGAGGGCTGGAAACATTCACGCCCGCATGTATTTATAAAGAATGATTTGTCTGTTTAAATTAATTGAAAAGCATGATTATCATTAATTGACGATTGAAGATGAGCCACTTGGCTTGATTTTAATCATAGGCATTTGATATATTATTTTTGAAAGCTTTATAATTAACTTATTAGAGAAGATATATATTAGTAAAGCAAGTTCATATGGTATGAAATGAAACTGAGAGCATGCCTTTATAATATGGTGATTTGAGATGGGTTTTAATCAATATCTACCACCACAGTTAATTGTACTAATAACCTTTAAAGTTTTAAAGTAACGTAATTTTGAATCTTTCAATTTAATTACCTTTTATGTATATTAAGCTCTTATTGGGATATTGTAGTTTGTTTTCTTATTTGTTCTCTTACGAAATTGTATGTTTTTAAGAAAACTATTTAGTAAAGAATACAATTATAAATAAGAATAGAATTTAAAAGTCTTATTAGGAATTGAAATATAAATCCTATTAGAAATAGAATATCTCATATCATGCCTATAAATATAAGGGTGAGAACACATGATATTTAATATAAGGGTTATTAAACACCATAAGGAGAGTATCTTAGAATCTAGGATCGTTTCCACTATAGATACAGAGTTGAATGTGGTTAGAAACTAAGATTGTTTCCGCTCTGTTAATTATGTATCTGGTTTATGATATTTTGTACTCTTGTATATCGTGTTCATGAAACTATAGTGGATTTATCTCATCCGTGAATATAAAGGGGTTATGTCAAACCACATAAATATCTTGTCTCTTTATGTGATGTGATTTTAATCTTATATTATTTATATCAAAAGTGTATTTTTTCCGTTACGCAATCTCCTAACAGCTCTTAGGGTTATATACATGTACACCTACAGGCCAGCTATACGTGGCGTACGTACATATCTTATCCTCTTATCAATTCTCTTTGCTTCTGGAAAGGATTCATTTTCTATATCAATAACCCAAAATTTTCAGTTTTGATATATAAATCCATATGTTAGTGGTATTCTACTGTTGTAGAGTAATGCATGGTTAATTTGATAACTATTTAAAGGACTGAGGACTCTCGATTAACAGTCTCTCATTATTTATTCAATAAAATTACTTTCAATCTATTTTCGTATTCTTGTGGAATAAGGGTTTGACTACCATATTATAATTTGGAGTGAAGACTCCAGACTCGTCATTATCTCATTGTATTTCAATAAAATTTCACTGTATTTTCCTTGAAACTACGCGGTAGACAGTGTTTCTTTTATACCCATTTAATTCTCTGTGTTTCCACGTTGTCATGTACATCCAAGTTTTCAATATAAATTATGGTTTGATCAATTGAATTATATGCATAAAAACCTGAGTAATTAATTGGATATTGGAGTAGTACTGTTACATCATACTTGATTTACATATATATTCCAAAATTATTTTTTTCTTTCTTTGTTGGATCAAAACCAGAGAAGGCGGGCGATGGTTTTGAAAAAATGGGATCTTACTGATGAATGATGATCGTTATAAACTTATACATGTATCTACGAGAGAAGATGAGTGGCAAATTGTATTAAAGTAATATGCGGGGAATATCCATTGCCTTATATATTTATACCAAAATAACTTCATAGTTGCACATTAGCATAGCTCACCTAAACACAGCACAAAAGCTTTGGAATTAAATATGGCATAGCCTATAATTCCTTATTATAAAATAAAAACTTTTATTGAAGGGTGGTACAAATGGAGGTGACGAATGCCTCCTTTTCAATTTAATTATATGTATAATTGTATATGCTAACTGGATTTCGTTCTTAATCACAATTTGTGGCCCCCGTTTTTCTTCTTTTTAAGGATGATGAGGTCACTAATCACCTAAAGCTCCGATTGTCTTTATACTTGCTTCTTTGATTGATTAGAATAAAAAAAAAAAAAAAACAATAAAGGGAAGATTAGTGCGAGAGCTGTACTTGATTGATTGATTAGAAAGAAAGCAAGATATCATTGGCTGCTTGTGATAGACTCCTAACCATGACTTCCTTTTTGCTCTTGTATGACAACTGTCAACCAATTATTGGTTTTTAAAAATGGAAACAGAAATGGAATTATACGCCAACCTTAATTAATTAAATTAACCTGTCTTTACACGATCCCAAATGACAACATTATCCTTCAAATAATGGTTATGTAATATGATATTTAATCATTTATTTATGAATGAAGGGTATTCAAGACATTGATGTCCTCCAAAGCCATGGAGTTTTATATTATTATATCCTCGACAGGCCCCTCATTATTAAATTTAAACACGGCATTAACTTGATTTTTTGAAATTTTGGCAGCATTTCCCTGTAATTTTTAGTGGCTTGCAGACTGCATTATGTATATATATATATAATCTAGAGAGATAGAGAGAGAGAGGACGAAAGTGGCCAAACTAACAACATCTATTAATGCTAACAACAAAAAACAAAACAACAAAACTAATGCTTTCAAAAACAAAACAGGGACTAATTTTTTACACAATACTAATAATAATGATTACAAAAGCCCCGGTTTACCAAAAATGACCGAAAACCCCATCATGTATCTTTACTTTAACAGCTGATTTTACTTACATAAACGAGAGAAATTAAGACGAGTCTTTGTTCTTGTTTTAGAATTTAGTGGAGCTTTTATTATAGTTAAATTTATGTGATTAATGATGGGGTTTGTTCACTCGTGACATTATTGCATGGCCATGCAGAAGTAAACTGTTGGAGTTGCCGGAACACCAACAATTCATGTATTTCCGACAGTTTACGTCGGAGCATGCTATGCTCAGACCGGAGCCGATCATTGTCCGTTCTTACACGTTGACAATGATACAGAACAAACTGCAACCGGTGAGTTAGTTCCCGGTTCTCTATCCTAAGCCGGTTCACCTGGTTCCTTAGGTTTTCTAAATGCCTCTGTTTACGCATGCGTGACCTCCTGGCTGACTCCCGGTTCGATATCATGCGTCTTTGCTTCCGCTCGTCGATAAGAGACGCCGGAGGGTTTGGTTCATCGGAACCGGAGTTTGAGTTGGTCTGGTTCCGGTTCGTTTCCTCGGAACTGGAACTTGAAACCACAGGTTTTGGGGGAGATGACTGGGTTACGGCTGAAAATAGGTCAAAGTCCCACGGGCTGAACCCATTTTCAAAAGCCGGAAAAGGATTTCCGATCATCGGCTCCGATGAGAACATCGCTGGAATAGCAGACAACATGGCTCAGAATTTTTTTCTAAGTGAATAGAGGAAGGAAAGAGGGAGAAAGGGAAGAAATGCAGCGTGAGGGGCTCATATTTATGGACGAAATGATGGGCCCACGTGACGAGTGCAGAATAGTAGAATACGGCTTTAAGTGTATTATGATTTAAAACCGTAAGCATAATTATACGTATGCGTACATGTTTTGAACTTTTGAGTCAGGTGGCACTATGGTGGGGTTGAAGTGTTGAGTTACTTTTCAAAGCGACATGCGGGTGACATAAGATAGTGGGGTCCATATAAAGATCGGTTTCTAGCTTAGTCATGAAGAAACAAAATAGATGGGTCTACAATGTACAGGTGTCGTTGGGTGATAAGGTACGCGTGTGAGTAGCCAATACTTAAGAGAGTTGGTGATGTCGAGAACAAGGCATGAAGCTGGGCTTCTGTTTAGTGAGCTGATCGGCATATTAAGCCGGTGATTAAGACTAGAAGAGAAAGTAAAAAAATGGGTAATGAATATTGAATATTATAAAGTGAGGTTGAATTTTCTTTTTGTTTTTTGGTTATGAAATGAAAGTGATGGCGATGTTGTAATGGTGAACTGTGTTTTATGTCATGGCCCGCATGCCACATGCCCACTCCATCAATAATTGTTACAAAACAATTCTAAATCCATATTTATATTCATTTTATTCATAACAGCCATTGTTTGTTTAATTAAACTCATGTGATTATCATTTAGTATGCTTTAGAATAGGGAAATTAATTAAGCAGAAAATCAAGACCACAAGCAAAGCATCTTATGATATTGAGAATTATCTAGAATGACAATGAAATATTATCATTTAAGTATTTTTTTTTTTTTTTTTAATCATATGGGGTGTCCGGGACAGTTTGCGCACAATTCAACTAATCCTTTGAACTCTTGAAACTATCATTCAGGTAACAGTCTCAATGATCACCCTTATTAGTATTTGAAAAAACTTGAACTTAAGAACTCATAAAGTATCCTCTTACTTTTTTACTATCAAACTATCTAATGGTGACTGTTTATTATCATTTAAGTTGATAATCAAGATAGACTTCTTTTAGATAGTAATTGGGTTTGATGATTTCTAATATTCTTTTTCTTATCTAATTTAATTATGTGTTATGACTATTTATATAATGTACTATCAAAATCTTCTCACTTGGGTATTCTTTTTTATTTTATTAACGGTGTTAGTTGAGTTCAGTTAGATATTGTATATAAATAGAAGTTGGATGTTGCAACCAAATCATAATGAAAGATGTTTAGCTATAATTATATAATTCGTTTTTAAATTATTATTTCTAATTAATTAATTACTAACCATCTTGAAAGAAGGGAGTTGTATATAAATTTTTTTAATAATTCTTTAAAGAGATTGATCATTAAGAGAATCTATAGCCTACTAGAATCATTGTTGAACTTGGGAAAAGCAAAGAGAGAGAGAGAGAGAGAGAGAGAAAAAAAAAAAAAAAAGCCAAACATATAATTGTTGCATAACAAACGGTCAGCACGAGGCCAGCCGACACTTAAACGTGTTGCCCTAATCGCAAAATATGGGCAAAAGGATACTTGTGTTTTTCTCTTTAATTAATTTATTATATATATATATATATTTTCTAATTAAGAAAACTTCTTGCATACTTATCCATGCACGCACGTTAAAAATCCATTAAATATTTTCAGTTAATGAATGAATTATTAATTAATTAGTTCAGAGAATATTCTCGTGTTTATAGCTAGCAAAGCTGCAACAGCCAATTAACGCCCATAATTCTGTATACAAAAAGCATTGGCTGAGATTTCAAGAGCTGGTTAAAAGCTATCCATCCCCCACACTTGTTCATTAGAAAAATTTAAAGATCAAGCAGGCTCCATGTGAAAGATGCCCACTTTATAAAGATGTCTTTGCCTATTCTTTAAGAGGACACATTAAAGAAAGCTAAGCCATTTAAACTTTGGTGAAAAAAAAAAGATAAATTTCTGAAATTTCTAAAACTGGGTATTTTGTTGGAGAGTGGGTTGCTTGCGATGAATATATATAGTAAAGATGAACATGGGAGGCAATTGATCCACGATGAAGAAAGAGATCATAAAAAAGTGAAGAGCTCCACTTATTTATTTATTTATTTTTAATGAAATTTGTGATGGAAAAGAGAGTTTCAAAGGGTAACTGTTGCTTTTGCTTAGCCTAAAAATTTGCTGGACAAGAACAACCAAATTAATTATTCGCCATATTTATCATCACAGGATATTGGATAAGTATTTATTCCTAGGACTTTATACATGTATGATCGGATTGGTATTTTGTAGTTAATGCTTTGAAATTGTGAAGCTGTTTTTTGAAACATGCTTTTAACTACCAATCTTTTCTCGAATTCTGGTTCTTCTTATTAATTGTTATGTTAATTTCTACAATGTAATTAAGTTGTAGCATGATCTTGATGCTTGAATAGGGTTCGGATAGATGAAATAGAAATTAAAACTAAATGGATAAACGAAACGTAATAGTTGAGGAAGATCAGATCGATGAACAATACGGTCAAGAAGTTGAAGTCGAACTGCATTATTATGTATGGTCATGAATCATGATATAAAGTAGGTCCCTTAAGGTTCTAATTTCCATGATTAAGGATGTGACTTTAAATTCTATGAAGACACATTTTTAATGCTTCGGAACTACAGGAAATGCAATTAAAGCTCTAGTTAGTTCTTTGGTATCTAATAATTAATTTGTTAAAAAGAAAAACCGTGGTTTTCTTTTGGTTAATTTGCTTTTAGATAAGGAAGACTTTATTGCTTTTAGATTGTGTGGTTGTGCAAAGCTTTCTTTATCTGAATGTTGAAGAAATTAAAGTGCTCTTCATCTTCCTTCAAACCTCCACTACGTTCATTACCTTCTAATAGCATCATCATACAAGTTAATCCAACTCAATTAAATCGATAATGCGGTTCATAGAAAATCAAACGTATCTTTAATTAGTATGGTGAGATTTAGAAAGATCGCGATACATTATCTTTTATAACAGTTGAGTGTGTGAAATAAGACAGTTGGAAAAAGAAAGGCCACAGCAATTAATATTCTTAATGTTTTTCTTAAAAATTAAAATTAGAAAACATTTGTTTTCTCTCATAACAAATCGAATATCTTCATCATAAAAAAGCCAGCGTTAATTATAATCGTTTTTGTTTTTTATTTTATTTAAGATTTTAATAATTTTTTTCTATCTAGACAACCATGACACTTTAGATTAAGAAGTATCAAGAAAATCTTCTTTTTACGTTGGAAAATTGTCAAAAATATCTTATGAGAAATCGCTTTTTTTATAGCTAGAATTTCCTTCTTGAGGAAATAAACTTTTCAAAAGTTGTAATATGATTTGTTAATTTTATAAAACAAGAAGATTTAGCGTCGTCCTGATTCGATGGAAAAATATTTCATATATGAAAGAAAGCTTTGTGTGATCTTGACATGAATTGTTGTAACGTTAAGAAAGCTTTGTGTGATCTTGACATGAATTGTTGTAACGTTATTTTCGCCAAATGGGACATATTCCCATCAGTGCCCCCATTAAATTAACAGGAGATATTCATTTTATTTTAGTCTATTCCATTTACCAGCTACTTTAATATATTGATTTCCTATCAATAATGTCCTCTTCTCATCAGTCCTGACTCGTGATCGAAAAAAGAGAAAGAAAAAAAAAGTCAAAACTTGAACAATTAAATAGAATAGCGTATACTCTAAATATATAAATTAAATTAATGCAGTTTATGTGTCCAATTATTTTATAGATGAAAAATCGATCACATCATTGAACTTTTTTAGCAACATCAACTTACATGAAGTTAGTTACCAGTGACATGTAATATCAGCTTATGACATTTATTTAATTTATTTACATGTTGTTAATAAGATTATAACATAAATAAAATTAATGATGATATTAGAGTTATCAGGCAAGAATCAATGTCCCAACAAAGAAAAAAAATCATAAAATCTATTGATCATACTACATAAGTAAGATACATTTATTGACATTATATAGCTTCCATTCACTATATCATTTATTTTACAGATGTATTATATCCATTTTAATCACAACATTTTTGCCCATTAATTGGGCATCAGTATTAACATTTCCCGTTATTCCAATGTTTCTTTGAAGGGACTTCCCCTTCCTCCTCCCTCCTCGGTCTGGGCAGTTGAAGATTTGCGTTATTGTTGTAAATGAATGGCACATCACATCAGCATCCAGATCACTATCATCAATGGTGCCAATATTAATGCAAGAGCACCGCTCCAAGTGTTGAAAAAGACAGGGCGACGCCTTGATGAGCCATGCAGCCACTCCATCGGCTTTCTGCACGCAAAAACACAGCCAGGTGCGGTGGTGCTGCCTGGATCGTCGGCTTCACCGTCACTGATGGCTGGCGGATTTACAATAGCCCGTTCGTGCATCTCCAGGAACGGTGGCAGTATCCATTAATTGACGATGAAATTATTGGTAATTATAAAAGGTGTTTTAGGGTTAATGTAAAATGGGCTTAAAATATCTCTGAAAATAATTTATTATATTGAGATATCACAATCTTCTAGATGAAATAGGCCAGGTTCTTTGGATAGCGATGAAGGATACTTGGTGAAAATGCCAAGGAAAGGGACAAGTATAAGAATATATAAATAAATGTATGATTCTCTATGCAAATCTATTATAATTTAATTCTTTAGTGGAGTTATATATTGGACCACATATCCTGAGTTTTCTTGGTTCTAGGGTTAATTAATCATATGGTGTTACTTCAATTATATATTAAATTGGTTGACACCAAATTAACAAGTAACCCATTTACTCTTTTAAGAGAATCTTTATTGGTGTTCTTTATTTGAAAGAGTGTCTTTCATATAAATAAAAAATATTTTATTTAATTTTTAAATATAAAGAATAAAAATTTTATTCAAATCTAATGAACTTTTAAAATTTGATGAGGATGCTCTTTATTTTCAAGAAATAGACTTAATAGAAGAGAAAATTAATAAATAAA